GTCTTTTATTTCAGTATCCCTTATATCTTTTGTGTTGTAGCTGTTATAACTCGTTAGAATAATAATTATTCAAATTGATACAGCTATGAGATAGTTATTTGTGTAACTAGTGTACGAAGTCGCACTTTGCTGAACATGAGAGAAATGTTTACGCACGAGCCGCAGGTGAGGGTGGAAAGTTTCTCGAGTTTAGCAAAGGCAGTTTGCACTCGTGTTACACATTATATTTCTCCTACAGTTACTATAAATCATATAAATAATCAGTCTTTTAAACACTATACAACACGTTTTTAGGTTAGGTTAAATAGAAGAACGAAATGGGAAACGCTGTACCAGCCGATCGTAGTCGTAGTATATTTAAGTATTGCCAACTTATTTTCAAGCGTAAACGTATTACGTGCATGATAAAAGCACACCGATTTGTGTTGTTTGGTTCGAATACTGGTGTACAGCAATCGGGCCTTATGTCGAATAGCTAGTCGATGAGAATTTTAAACAAGTGATCGGTCAAATATTTCAAGCTAATCTAAAATTCGTTTTTTGGTGCAAGAAACATTATACAGTGGAACCTTCAATAACAAGTCGCTCTTGATAACAAGTGTTATTTTCAACCCCTTAATTAACTTAAAATTATTTTACCCCTTATCACATGTTATTACACTATTTAAACGAATATTTAACTGGGATATTGAGATTGTTAATGCGTTACACTATTTTTCGTCCAACAAGTTTATCTTGAGGAGAGAGGGCTTCTGTACTGAAGTCCCGGGTGCAAATCTTACCAAAGACTAATGGTTCTTTTGCTATAATGATAATGACTTGACTGGGTATGTTGTAAACCACCTTAAGCTGTAGGTATGCCTATATAGAAACGAGAAAATCGTCCGTCCAGTGAGAATATGATGGAGATCTCTCTCAATTAAAATTCATATGCCATTTTCCAATAACAGTTTATTTGTGCCAAACTATATTAATGATTAACAACCCACGGATAGAAGTATTTCAAAATATGGTAAAGTTTTGTTGTAAGACATTGAATATTAGTTTTGAAATCAAATGAGTTGATCACGTAATTTACGTAATTTTTGGGTAAGAAATTAACATATTCAACCCCAAGGTCTAAAAACATCGCAGCATTCGCAAAATAATGTCGTCCAAGTCATATGAGGGGAATTAAGTAAAACTATGCGTTGCTCATTCTGATAGCTTTCACATCTGGTGTTTAAGCCAATTTCCCTATAGGGAAGTAGCTATATTACCGTAGATGGAACGGTAAAGCGTATTTCCAGGACTGATTTACTTTTTAATTTTGATTTCCTCAAACCCGAAAATAAGGTTGGTCAATTTTTTTATACTTCCTTAAATGAGCTCACGAATTGGTGAAATTGGATCATGAAACGAGGTGTTAAGTAGTTTTGAAATGATTAAAACTTGTATTTTTTACGCCTTAAACATAGATTTATTAAATATTCATTCTAAACATGATGTAAAAAAAAATAATAATTTACTTAGTAACGATTTGTACAATAAAAGGTTACGGAGAAAACTCCAAAACTGTAAATTAAAAACTCTCATGTTATTATTATAAGAGAAAAACTGGTTTATATAGTTCGCTTGTTTATGGAGATATGTAGATCAGATTTGGCAAATTATTTATTTCGTCCCAGAATATTGACGTTTGAAAAACACTTTTTAACTTCTTTGTAGCAGCAAACCTAAGAACTCGTTAAATCTTAATATATTATAATTGAGAATTTACATTATTTCAATGTTTACAATATTTCCTCATCTATCTGGTAAGTAAAATGTTAAATATCTTGTTCAATTGTTTTGCTAATATATTCAAGTGCCATATTGACAATATTATGTCTTTAATTTAGAAACGATAGTACAGGCAAAATGGATTAAAATTCACCAAAAAAACAAAAAAATTAGTTCAGGGATGAAACTTTGGTTTTAACTTCGTTTTACCAATAGAAGTCAAGATCCAATGAGTCCCTAACAGTCCCGATGGGGGAACATGGTTTTTAGGGGGTGGGGAGGGGTAATTTAGATATAATTCATTATTCACGATTTGAAGTCATTTAGGAAGTCGTTTTTAACGTTTGTATACACGGTGAATCGATATGAACCATATTTAGGTCGATAGAGCCACCTCCATAAGAGATTTAGCATATTGGTACATGTTTAGTTGTTATTTTTTCTAGGAGGGTTAGGGGGAATTTTAAATAATTTATATTTTTTGACTTATGACTTGTTGGGTGTCGTTTTCAATGGATTTCTACATGCCAAATAGAATGGAACCACTATTTTGTCGATATAACTACATTATTAACAGATTTGGAGTGCTATCTGACTGAAATAAAATAAATGTTTGTGCACAAAATTAATTATTTAATATTTAAACATAATAATTAAAACTATTATCTAAACATCAAGTATTAATTGAATGAGTTTATTTTTACAATAAATTCAATTTTCCCCATTATAAAAAATACCCCCGCCGCAGCAAACCTGCAGACCAAGCGAATTTCCATTTATCTGGCAGGATTTCTACTAAAATTTGTCCTTGAAACTGTCAGATTTATTTCCTATTTAAATAACATTATTTTTAATTAACAATTAGGTTTGCTGCTACAGGGATGTAATGGGGGTTGTTTTTATTAAAATGTTGATAGCTTAGTATGAAATAAACAAAATTGCCAAGTTTGGTTTAAATATATCCACAAACAAGTTTATTTATCTACAACTGTTTATTTATTTTCCATTAGAATAACATGGGAATTTTAAATTTACATTTTTTTTTATTATCTCCTTAACCGTTAGGCGTACAACAAGGCATATACTAAATTATTAAATCTTTTAAGCTCTAGAAAGTGGTTTGGAAAGAAATTGTGAAATTCTTTGTTGATGGGGTCAAAAATGGGAAAAACCAATTTTCTCCCCACAAAAGTGTCCATAAACCCATAAACCCATTATGGGTAAAATTTATGTAAAATTTATGTAAAATAAATGTATTTATTTTACATTGTAATACATTGATATTAAGTCAGGGTTTAAACCATGTTTTATGATTTTAAGTTCAAGTAAATATCTATTGACCTTTGCGTAGCCCCTACAAAGTTTGTATATATATTTTCTATGTTTTGTACATATGTATACTGTTTTTATATCCTTCAGCAAGTCAAAGGAATACATTCTAAGTTACAACTAGGTTGTTATGTCTTCTCTAAGACTGTTCATAATTCATTTATACATATTTTTACTATCATATGTTTTTCTATTGTTTTTGTTTTGTAAACATTCATGAAATAGATTTTGTGTTGAGTTAATATGCGTGCATTTATTAATTATTTTGTAATTAATAAGAGTCATTTTAATTGGCGACGAGTGTGAAAATCAACTAGCCACTACAAAATTCAACACATTTACTTTTAAAAATTACATTCAATTTCTAGTTTCAAGATACATTAATATTTTATACAGTTCAAACTATAATGGATGCACAACAGTTTACCTTACTTCTAAACACATTCAATGAACAACAAAAAGCACTTGTACGTGAGATGTCAAACATGTTTCAAGCTCAAATTCAAACAATTGTTACATCAATTGCAAAACCCAGAGAAGAAAGCTGTCAATTTACATTGTCAAATGTTGCTACATTCGAAAACTTCAATGCCAAACAAGAAAAGTTTACCAGCTATTTAGAACGTTTCGAAAACTATTATACAATGAAAGGTTTGACTGATAAGAAGAAAATTGCTCAGCTCTTGTGTAATTCTATAGGTAGTGAACATTATAACAACCTATCTGCATTTTTGGGCCCAGACAAGCCACTCAAATCATTAGATTATGAAACTCTGTTGAATGACTTCAAGAAACTATTGACTCCAAAGAAAAGTGTTGTTGTTGCTCAACATTATTTCTTAAATATCTTTCAAAAAGAAAACCAGTCAATTTCAGAGTTTGTGGCCGACCTCAGACGTGATCTTCAAGAATGTGAATTTGCAGTTGAATGCTCCAACGATGAATGTGGAACATCTGTGTCAATTGCTGATGTTTTCTTGCGGGCACAGTTCATACGAGGATTGAAGGACAATTGGCTTAGGGAACACCTTTTACAATCCGTTTACACAAAGTTTGATGACATTCTAGAGAAAGCTATTGCTCTTGAAGCATCAAAGGTTGAAAGCAAAGAATTTCACCAACATGCATGTTCTAACAACTTTAATATGGATTCGGCTGGAGTGCACAAAATTACAAAGTCTTCCAGACGATCACACCAGTTCTCTAACAATCACTCATCCAACAAGACATCTCTCAACTGGAAACAACGTTCAAATAACAAAAGTCCTGACTTCAATGCCCTCGGAATAGAAGGCCTCTGTCTTAGATGTGGAAGTAGCAAACACATTGCTGCAAATTGTAACAAACACAAGTATAAACTCCAATGTGGGGAGTGTTTAAAACGAGGACATGTCTCTACGGTCTGCATAACTACACTGATGTCAAGGACTAAGAAATCAACATCAAAGTTAAATTCAACCAACAACCTACATTCAGGATCAAATGATGACGATTATTCTAGTGACGACTCTTCTGATTACGGAGTGCACAAAATTGATTCGATCTACCAGAACTTTGATGTCGTAGATTTATTTGAAGTTGGATATGATTCAGACAAGTACATTGTTTCTGTCACTATAAATGGAAAATTACAATGTTTTGAAGTTGACAGTGGGGCTAAATTTTCTCTCCTTGCGAAGAATTATTTTGAACGTCTACATCTGAACGTACCTGTAGAACCATCAAGGCTAGCTTTCCGTTCTTACTCTGGAGACATAATCAAACCAGAGGGAAAGGTATCAGTTTCTGTATCATACAAGGGTAAACAGTTCAAAGGTGACCTTCACATCGTCCCTTCAGGTCATGATGCACTTCTAGGGCGCCAATGGATCCGAGTACTGGGTATTGAACTGTGTGAAATTGACGCTTAAATGAACCGACCAGCTACTACCCTTCAATTACAACCAGTAAATTCAGTTGAGGAACTGTTTGAAAAATTTGCGCCAATTTTCGAGCCAAAAATTGGATGCGTTCCAAACTTTACAGTATCATTACATCTTCGATCAGGAGCAAAGCCTATTTTCAATCGTGAACGGAACGTACCTCATGCTCTTATTGATCAGGTCAACAAGGAACTAGATTTACTTGAAAATGAAGGAATCATTTCGCCTGTTACGTCAAGTGATTGGGGGTCACCACTAGTCGTGATACCTAAGGCAGATGGAAGTGTTCGTCTCTGTGTCGACTACAAATGTGGTGTGAATGAACGAATAGTCCAGGCAAACCATCCTATTCGAAAAATTGACGATGTACTCGATAGTTTGAGAGGATCTCGTTACTTTTGTAAACTTGATCTGTACAAAGCTTATCTGCACCTCAAGGTCGACGAAGAGTCCAGTATTATCCAGACAATGTCAACACACCGTGGAACATATCGTGTCAATCGTCTAAGTTTCGGAATAAAGACAGCACCTTCTGAATTCAACCGAATTCTTACACAAATTTTGAAGGGGTTGCCTAAAACCGAGGCCTACTTTGATGACATAATTTGCCATGGCTCAACAATGGATGAGTGCAAAAGAAATCTACAGGCCTGTCTTCAACGACTCTCAGATTTTGACTTACACATTAACAAACAGAAGTGTTCATTTTTTCAAGAACAAATAGAGTATCTAGGACGAGTGGTGGAGTTAAACAAAATAAAGAAATCTCCTACCAAAGTTCAAGCTGTTAAAGAAATGTCACGTCCATCAAAAGTTGAAGAATTACGACGATTCTTAGGAATGGTTTCTTACTACTCTCGTTTCTTTCCAGATGCTTCAACTGTCACTTTTCCTTTGCGACGTTTGTTACGCAAAAATAAGAAATGGGAATGGACACCGGAATGTGAAAAGGCTTTTCAACGAATCAAAACTGAGCTCTGCAGTAACAGGATACTCGTACCTTTCGATCCAAAACTACCGTTAGTCCTCACCACAGACGCTTCACCTACTGGACTAGCTGCAGTTCTTAGCCACTTAATAGATGGTACTGAGAGGCCAATTGCTTACGCCTCACGTTCACTCACTGATGCCGAATGTAACTATAGTCAACTAGACCGGGAAGCATTAGCCATAGTTTTTGGTGTCTCCCACTTCTATTATTACCTATTCGGGACTCAATTTCAACTTGTAACAGATAATCAGCCCATATCTAGGATCTTCAGACATGACAAGGCTCTACCACAAATGACTTCAGCTCGTTTACTCAGATATGCATCATATCTGTCAGGTTTCAATTACAAGTTGGTGTTCAAAAAGGGCATGGAAAATAAAAACGTGGATTGTCTTTCAAGAGCTCCTCTTACACAGACTCACTCTACTAAAGACAAGAAAATCGGAAAAGAGGTACACCAAATCTGCAGCCAAGTTATTTTTCAAATTTCAAGCCATGAAATCACAGCTGAAATCATTAAGAACGAGACAGCCAAAGATCCAGTGCTCTCTAAGATTTTGAAAGACCTACTCACCAATTCAACTGATTCTGATTTTACGTTGGTCGAAAACTTTATTTTCCGGGGAGAAAGAGTTTACATTCCATCACTACTTAGAAACAAGATTCTAAATGAACTTCACGAAAGTCATCTTGGAATCACAAAAATGAAACAGCTAGCACGGCGCTATGTTTACTGGCCAAATATTGACAAGGACATTGAGCATCTTGTGAAAGGATGTGAAAATTGTGCACTAACACGGTCAAATCCGCCCAAAGCTCCCAATCACCCGTGTGAAATCCCAAAAGAGAACTGGGAAAGAATACACATTGACTACGCAGGACCGTTTCAAGGCTTCAACTTCCTCGTGTGTATTGATGCTAGATCAAAATGGGCAGAGATAAAAGTAATCAAAGATGCACCATCCAGCTCCAATACCATACATCTGCTTGAACAGATTTTTGCAACACACGGCTACCCGAATGTTATGGTATCTGACAACGCCTCAATTTTTCAAAGTGATACATTCCAAGCTTATTGCAAATTGCATGGCATTTTCCAGAAATTCATATCTCCAGGACATCCAGCAACAAACGGCTTAGCAGAACGCTCTGTTCAAACATTGAAGAACCGCCTGAAGTCCACAGCTTCAGAAAACATACCAATGGCACTAAAGGTCCAGAAGATCTTAATGCGGTACCGGGCAACTCCTCTAGCATGTGGCAAATCACCGGCTGAACTTTACCTCCACAGGAAGTTAAGAATACGAATGGATGCCATTTTTCCCAACGTACAAAAAGCTTCAACTAGAAATGCTCCATCTGCACGTTCATTCAACGAGGGGGAGAGAGTTCAGGTTCGTCTCTTCATAAACAACAAGAACGTTTGGGAGTTTGGAGAAGTAAACAAAAAGTTGGGAACTCGACACTATCTAGTTTCCCTTGACAAGTCAGGCCGACTTGTTAAACGACACATTGATCAATTGCGGTCTACTTTGATACCAAAACCAAAAATTGTTACCGCGGGACCAATCCACATATTTGATGTTCCACGGGCTTCTAAACACAGCACAAAAGAAAATTCTAAGGCTGTTACTTGTTCTAATCCTGAAAGACTGTCAATTCCTGAAAGACCATCAACTCCCTTAAGACCATCAACTCCTGAAAGACCATCAACTCCCGTAAGACCATCAACTTCCAAAGGACCATCAACTTCCGAAGGACCGTCAATTTCCGAAAGACCACTAACTCCCAAAGCAAACAATGCAGAGGTTCCAGTAGTTCAGGGAACAGAAACGAACAATAGCCATATTCCTGAGAATCCTGAGAAGGCGACAAAGGCAAATGCCGGGCCGATACAAGGACTTTGTGCTTTCATAATAATACACTGCAAGTTCAAAATAGTGGGGGAGACTGTTATGTCTTCTCTAAGACTGTTCATAATTCATTTATACATATTTTTACTATCATATGTTTTTCTATTGTTTTTGTTTTGTAAACATTCATTAAATAGATTTTGTGTTGAGTTAATATGCGTGCATTTATTAATTATTTTGTAATTAATAAGAGTCATTTTATAGGTTTTTAGCGAATTTCCCATATAGGGAATAAGCTATTACCGTAGGTCTCATGGTAAGACTTAGACCCGGGACCAATTTACATTTTTGTTTTGAGGTCCCCAGAAGTCAAAAACACCATCCTTTCAAATTCATATACATATGTGTCCGTTTAGCGTGATAACTCGAGCGCAAATTATCAGATTTTGATGTCATTTGGTACAAACGTGTAAACCTAAATTTATTCGAACGAGTTTACGAACCAGCATGATTGGACTATGGGAACAGGGGTTTATGGGGATTGTTATGGGGAGAAAATTGGGTTTTCCCATTTTGACCTCATCAACAAAGAATTTCACAATTTCTTTCCAAACCACTTTCTAGAGCTTAAGAGATTAAATAGTTTAGTATATGCCTGGTATACGCCTAACGGTTCAAATCAAATCAAATCAAATTATCTTTATTCACTTTATACATTTTACATACATGAATAGTGTCAACGCATACAAAATTGGTTATACATACAACTTAATCTAAAAGACTTAACCATACAATTTTACAATTATTTTTGAATGTATAGCTAATTCATTTTTGATTTAAAAACTCATCTCTACTATAAGGAGCCAGATTAATGAAGAATGATTTTAATTTCTTAAAAAAATTGGGTTTGTTTTCTCTTTTTTTAGTAAGGAAGGCAAACCTCTTATGAATAAATTGTCGATATACGAAGGTTTCATTTTTGAAAGTTTCAGCCGATGATGACTTTTTACAGTAAGATTTTTCCACCTTGTGTTGTATTTATTGGATAATTCAGTGTTTTTATCTTTATAAACATGCTGAATAGTTTTAAAAATATACAAACCATACACTGTAAAAATTTTCATTCCATCATTACATTATAAAAAATTACTTTAATTTTTTTTTTATTAAATACGTTTCTTTTTATCTTCGTTTCTTTTATTTACTTTCCGTAAAAATTTAAGTAATTTTCCACCGACTTCTTATTTTTAAACATTCTTATCCTGTAAGGTTAAGGAGATAATTTAAAAAAATGTAAATTTAAAATTCCCATGTTATTCTAATGGAAATAAATAAACTCTTGTAGTTCGCTTGTTTGTGGATATATTTAAATTTAAACCAAACTTGGCAATTTTGTTTATTTTATACTAAGCTATCATCATTTCAATAAAAAACAACCCCTATTACCTCCCCTGTAGCAGCAAACTTAATGACTCATTAAAATTAATGTCATTTAAATAGAAAATTAATAGTAATTTGTCAGGTAAATGAAAATTTGCTTGGTCTGCAGGTTTGCTGTGAGGGGGTATTTTATTATAATAGGAAAAATTAAATTTATTGTAAAAATAAACTCATTCAATTAATACTTGATGTTAAGTTAATTGTTTATATTTTATGTTTAAATATTAAATAATTAATTTTGTGCACAAACATTTATTTTATTTCAGACAGCACTCCAAATCTGTTAATAATGTAGTTATATCGACAAAATAGTGGTTCCATTCTATTTGGCATGTAGAAATCAATTGAAAACGACACCCAACAAGTCATAAGTCAAAAATCATAAATTATTTAAAATTCCCCCTAACCCTCCTAGAAAAAATAACAACTATACATGTACCAATATGCTAAATCTCTTATGGAGGTGGTTCTATCGACCTAAATATGGTTCCTATCGATTCACCGTGTATACAAACCTTAAAAACGACTTCCTAAATGACTTCAAATCGTGAATAATGAATTATATCAAAATTCCCCCTCCCCCACCCCCTAAAAACCATGTTCTCCCATCAGGACTGTTAGGGACTCATCGGATCTTGACTTCTATTGGTAAAACGAAGTTAAAACCAAAGTTTCATCCCTGAACTAATTTTTTCATTTTTATTTAGTATTTTTCCTGTACTACGATGTTAAACATCTAATGCAAACAGCATAAAACCATTTGCTCTTATGTTTTTATGTAATTAATTAGAAGGTATGAATTTATAATTTTTATTTTGTGTTTAATTTATTGTTTATTGACTTTGTAGGTAAATTATATCCACTCTAAAACACTTAACATCGAGTGTATACTAGCATTGACTATATATACTTACAGGTATATATAGTCAATGTAGGTATATTTATATACCTGTAGGTATAAAAATATAGGTATATTTATATTCATTTATATACCTTTAGGCATATATAGTCAATGATACTAGTTCCGTGCAGTAAAACAGCAATGTTCTCAGATTAAAGGAACAAGTTTAGAGTTGAGTCCAGATACAAGCTTAGTTTTGGGTTAAAGAAATCCTTTCGGCTTCCAAAAAAAGATCATATTTACTCTTTGTGCTTATACTATGGTGTGTGTGTTGCGTAGCTACTTTTATTTATTATAACATGAATTCATTTTATTTATTTATTATTGTGAGGACAACCGTTGATGGTCTGGTTGAAAAAAATATCTTTCAATGATTCAGGACATGCAAATAAATCTGAGTCATTCAGCGATTGCATAAATGTTTCATCAACTTTCAACTAGAATCTGTGTTTGAAATAGTATTTCAGACTTTTATACATTTACTACTAATGTATTGGTAGTATTCTAGAAACAGGCATGTTACTCCATACAAGCTAAATACACCCAAATGTTGTGTGAAATGATGTATTGCCTCAAATATTGTGGCGTCCCACATCATGTAGCAAATTACTTGTGCTGTTCGCAGTGTTACGATTGTACCTTATGTATAAGGTTATATGAAATATAAACCACATAGGTTTGTAGCTTGTAACATGTTTAAATCATATTATAAAATACATTGTTGATCATTAAATAAGTAATTTAATTCATAAAGATTTAGTGTTGAGTTTATTGTAGCTATACTACTACTAATTGAGGTGATAGTGACACCTTTTTAATTGCTGGTTGAGTAGAGTAATTATAAATAATAACTGAACTGTGTGGATTAGTAACATTAGTAGAAAATCCTTGTAACAAATAAGTTCGCATTTCCGAAAACCAAGTCATAAATCAACGGGCCAGTGAACATTGCAGAAAGGCGGGAAGGAAAGATAAATGTGCTGAATATAAAGGGTTCACCAGCACAACTGTGCTCCCTATTTTTAAGTTAAGAAAAAACACGATCAATTTTACATTTGCTTACATATTATTTGGTTAACATAATCCTTGAAAATATTCATTACAGTGAAAAACTTTATTAGGCTAGTAAATTTTACTAGTAAAAACTGATTTGGCCAATATGGACGTCCTCCACTTCTGTATTTTAGAGGTAATTTTTGTTAACAAGATTTAGATGTTACCAGGACTGTAGCTCGTTGAATGTGTGCTTTCAGTTGTTCTAACAATGCCTCACGTGTACGATAAAAGGTTTATATTCTACCCATGTTGAGAAATTCCAATTATTAACATACACAGAGAAATTAAAACTTGCTTTATCACAGAAAAAATGTCTTGAAAAATTCGGTCTGCTATTCTTTTACCCACTCTGAATACATTCTTTGCTGTCAATAATCTAGGGATTTCAGTTCTTAGAATTACTGGCTCATGTTTAATGTTTAATTTCAGAGCCTCATTAAAATTGTGCTTAAGGAATGCGTACGAAAGGCTTAAAGTCCGCGAATGGCGGAACATTTTTAATTGTGGCTACATTGATCATATTCCACTATGATAAAAAGGCCTTCATCTATCCATAATTATTCCAGTTTCCTTAAATGTCTTTACTATGCTTCAAGCTTTTTTCCTTCAGTAGGAATATCAAATTAACTATAATTTTCTGTCTCATTTCGGTAAGGAAGTTGTATGGAATTTTTCTTTCTGTAGATCACTTGATCAGTTTTAACACGGTAAGCAGTGTTTAAACTACCCATTTTACAAAATGTGTTGCAATAGACTGACCTTCTATGTATTACACATATACAACAATGTTCAGCTGTGCAATCATCAGTGCTACCAAAATAACTGCAATTTTATCATTTTAAACATGATGCCTCTTTTTTTGTCCTAGGACGAAAAAGTGGCACGAGCCCGGAATTGTTTTTCACATTACTTCAGGTTAGACCTAGGGGTTACGGCATTATCACTTAGATCAAATCCGTTGGTGATTTGGCGGGATATGAATCCGGGACCCCAGGAACCGTAGTCCCGCGCTCTAACGACTAGACCAGCTATCTCCCCAAACATGATGCCTCTTAAAACGTGTATGGCTGAAGAGGAGCATAGTCCTGGACAGCAGACATTTTACATAAGCTCACCATCCCCCAAATATTTCTCCAAAGAAAGAGTATATTATATGACAGTTTTAGGATTTCAGGATGATAAATAGATATTTTGTAACTTTTTCATTTTGTATGCCAATGTCAAAAACTCACATTTATCTTTTTGAAGCCCTGAATAACCAACAGGCCGACAGAAACGAGTGGAAACGATGTTCTGTCTAGGAGGTGTACCTGTAGACAAGGGTGCGGAGTTTGTCCATGGTCAGGAGGACAACATCGTCTACGACCTGGTGAAGCCCTACGGTCAGTTAGCCTCGTACGCTCCGCTCGTTAAGTCAGGGAAGCACATCTTTGCTGACGTCACAGGTCGTCAGTACAACAACACTCTGGTATATTCGCTGGTGGAAGAGGCTCGTGAAATTCTCTACCAGGACTACAGTGAGCACAACAGCTCAGACGGTTCTGTAGCTAGCTTCTTCTATCCCAGGTGTAGTATTGGAAAAATTAAAAAAATCATTTGAGTATTGCCTCATCAGAATGATGATAAGTTGAATCTCATAAGTGTTTTTGTGGCTTAATACTAAGCTTTAGTTTTTCATGTGAAATCAATAGTAATAAAAAAGTAGGAACTAATAGTCAAAGGTGTTGGGTCTTCAGGGGGCCTTTCAAAACAGCCCAGTTCCTGTGACTTGTGAAACGAAATTGGCTCACATGGGACTTTTCAATGAGTTGAGCTGTAAGACAGAGTACCCGTTTCCACTGTGTGAATCTACTAGTATTCGAAATTCTCCATCAATATTATTAGTATTGTTATCAGTTACAATAGTTTTATCTTCCAAAGTCATTATTTAGTGTCAATTTTCTCAGCATTCTCATAATATTCTCAATTTAAACCGTCAGTTCTCTGTGTTTTCAAATCAGGACACTCAGTAATCTATGTTATTTTACTCAGGATTAACGTCGTTGTTGCCATTTAATATTCTCAGGAAACTGTGTCAATATTATCAGGGTCCAACATCAATAGTTTCAGTATTTCAGTACTGACTAGCATGCTCTCTCTATACTTTCAGCATTTCAGAACATCTGTCAGTATACCGAAGATTGTCCCTTTCACACTCTTTCTATGGGACGTTATTATTATTTATGATCATTATAACATATTTTATTGACAACCAACAGCTTTATAGAGTTCTAAATATAAGTTAGTGTCAAATTATTGAATGTTTCTCAAACTATACACCACAGCCCACATTAAATTCGCCAATCGAATCATACATAAATTCCAGTGGTTACAATTTGGTTTTGCTATACAAATACATCCGGTGTAAGTTACCTACAACCGCATACACTCCTTATATAGAGTCTATTAGAGAAGAGATACATTGGTTTTAGAATTTGACCTATGCAACCTATGTCAAGTAGTTTGGGGTTAAGTTAGGTAATGTTAGTTTACATAGACTTCTCTCCATCGGAAATGTTTATAGTGGCTTAAAGACCAAAATATGCTACAAATCTAATTATAATCGTCTATTTTTTTACAGGCTGCAGGAGCTGTTGACAGCAAGTGAAGTAGACGCTGAGCTATGGGAGGCTGTCAACCACACAGTGACCACCAATGAGATGGTGTACAGCGCTGCAGACAGCCTGGACCAGCTAGGGGTGCGAGGGGAGGGGGAGTATGTGGAGAATGGGGGTGATCAGACTCTGAAGTGGACCTCCCGTGGGTACAAGACCATCTTTGAGATACTGTCGGTGAGATAATAGATGTCTGAAGAACTGTATATAGCAATGGAACTTTTTTAAGGGATAAATGTTAGAATGGTTGCGTAGGAGGCTTGCCAAGTGCGTAAATTGTGTATAGACTTTAATAGATGATTGGACATGAGTTGCACCTAACATTATGTCTACAGTTACTACGTGGTAAATAACAAATCCTCCTTCAGTAGAACAGGTTTTAATGAACCGTTATTTTAATATGACACTGTAAAAACAGTCGAAAAAATACTCTAAAATGGATCTCCTCACTGGTCGTTTGTTACCGATTCTATCTTGAGAAGAGTCAGAACGTGTTAAATAACTCTATTCTGTGTCCAGCTGTCCTTAACCACTGGGCCTAAAGCTAATATTACTAACAAATCTATCATCTCATTACCTTAAATACATCCTTCAGTGTAGGAGTCGTTTATTAATCTAACAAAGTAATAATTCAAATTTATAATGACGTTGGTTTTTATTATTTAATTGGACTTTATGTTATTTATACTTTTCATTTGATAACGATTGGAGTTTATCCACCTACAGAAACGTTGTGTAGTTTAAAACACAAGACACGATGGAAAAGTCAAATAATTTTAACATGCAAAGTAATAATTGTTGAAAAAATGTTCTATAACATAGTAGATCAGTTTTGTTTTGTAGTATATGTTCTGTTTGGTAACTCCTAGAGAAAGTTTCCCAACGTCTCCGAGGAGCTGCCCATCATGGAGAAGGTTCTGTTCGGCAAAGGAGGTGCAGGGGGTGGACTATGGTCAGGGGGAGGGGAAGGTAGTATTGAGATGTTCTGACGGTAGTAGCTACACAGCTGATCACGTGGTCATCACAGTGTCACTGGGGGTGCTCAAGAAACACATGGAGATGTTCAACCCTCCCTTGCCACGGAGTAAGACTAATGCTATCCAGGTGAGAATGTGGTATTGTTGAGACTAACTTAAGGAACGTGGTTAGATGCATTGATAAGTTTTGGGAAGTAACCCTAATTACAAGTACAGAAGGTACTCTTGGAAAAAAAAACAAGCTAATAAGTTGGCAGCCCTGTTTCCTTTACTTTATTACCGATCAGCTGATGCATACTAGCATTGTTGTCAAGAGAGCTTTATGTTATAGGGAGTTTATTATGTTTATTTATTGAGAGTTCATTTGCAAAACCAACAGGCTGAACAGTTTGGACAAAAAATAGCTGAGTTCCTTTCTTGCTTTACCTACAGGTTTTCTCCATAAATTTACCGTCCTTTAAATTGAGAAAACTGTAGGTATAGTATGAAAGAAATTAGATTTTTAAGTTATTTTTGTGGTAACTATGTTTAATAATATATCGTTTATTTCTAGATCAAATTTACTCAATTTAATGCTTCTTGGAATTTTTGTGAAATTTTGCATTAAATAGCCGCTATTTTTTACGATTGAAAAGTTCTTATTCACATTTCGCAAAAATATTTCAGTCAATAATATATGAAGAAGTTTGCTAAATGTCAAAGGCTTAGCTCCAGTCGTTAAGGAGTTGAAGGTTTTTTGCGAATTTCCTGAGTGTCCTATATGACCACTCTCCCTCCAGTAGACGTTTGTGAATGAAATATAACTTGATAGTTTTATTAGTGTTGAAAATTTTAATTTGGTCTAGAATACAGTATTTACAGCATTGTACTTAGACAGTTATTGTTCAATAATGCATAAAACCGCTTATTCTGCACCAACAAATGGTTAATGAAAAGTTTTCTTGATAGCAGTAAGCAAAAAAAAACACTCCTATCTTTTGTTGTATTTTGCAGACTTTGGGAATAGGGTGTGTCGGAAAAGTGTTTCTCTTATTTCCAACTCGATGGTGGCCTGAATATATCAACGTAATTGTTCCAATGTTTTCTAAGAAACAGCTTGAAGACTTCAAGAAAAATTCCACCCATGTAAGAAATGTGTCATGTTATATTAAAGATACTAGTCATGTAGACGATAAAATAACTTCCTTTGTTAGAGCAAGTTGAAACTGAACTTGTACCTTTTCTGGCTAAATATTGTTGTAATCTTTCAATACGCTCTAAGATGACACTTTACTGCCCTAGATTTAGTTGTTAGTACACTATGCGTTAAACTAAACTATTACTGTCCTTACGGCTTTAGGTTGCACAGCTGACACCAGTAAGGAAGAAATTAACGAAAAATCTAAACTAATAAGTCCAATCAATGGTCGATTAAGATTTCGATATGCAGAATCGATATCTCGCCAAACTATTCATGCCAGCCGTTGTGCCATTTGCCTGCGCAATTTACCTGTTACTCCTTGTAGTTAACTGTTACCTTGTTATTTCTGTCATCTTAACCTATTACTTTTACCTTGTCTGTTACAATTATATTTGCCTGTGACTATAACCTAGTATAACATATTATGCCTCTGCAGGGTTACTGGACCGCCCACACCTCCGGGTTCTGGCCGGTGATGCAGCATGAGCGCATGCTCTGCTCGTGGTTTTCAGGGGAAGCTTGTAGAATCATGGAGAAGTTGACGGAAGAAGAAGTCATCCAGGGTCTGCTTCAGCTGCTTAACGCTCTTGTAGGCAAACAACATCAGATTCCCCGACCTGAAGGCATTCTGAGGTAACTGTTTTGCCTTGACACAATGACAAGCATAATATTAAAACCTAGACCACTTTCATGATAGTGTTTTGTTCAAAATGCCCCTACAGTTATCGGAATGTAGTTTCCAGCATCTCACCTAGTAAAAAGTACGATCGTGAGATATGTCAGTAACCTCTTGGTGGTTTGAGCTGTCCAAGATGCCTTTCATCATTGGGTTTTCAATTAATGGTTTAGGTTTAACAGCTAATATTATATGTAGGAACAAAGCTACAAAGGTTATCTCACTTTGCATATTCAGAATGGGAAATGTATATCTACACCCGTTGCAGAAAACCTGCTGACTAAGCGAATTTCCATTTGCTTGATTCGATTTTCACTTGAATGTATCAAATTGTCAATTCTTTTTATACTACATAACAATGGGTTTAGTGAGTACTTAGGTTTGCAGCTACAATGGAAGTAATCATGTGTGGTTTTGGTAAAATAGTAATAGGTTAATTTGAAATAATCTTCCAAAATTGATTTTTAAAGTATCTAAAACAATCAAACACCAACAGTTTACTTATTCTCTAAAAGATCGACACGAGAGCTCCAAATTTACATTATTTTAGGGAATTTTCCCCACATATATTGAATCCCTCCAACAACACTTTAATATACTAAATCATGACTTTTTCAATCCCTTCAAAATAGTTTGGAAAAATAAATTTTGAAATTTTAAGTTTTAGGTTCAAAAATAAGAAAACCAATTGATTACCGTTCTATTTAACATTATTCTTTTTGTTTGACAGGACTAACTGGGCCAGCTATCCCTACACGTTAGGATCATACTCTTTTCCCACGCCGGATAGCGATCGTCTAAATGTAACTAGAAGTCATCTATCCGAGCCTGTGCTACATCATGATAAACCTGTAAGTATACTTCTTACGTCACTTAGGTGTAACTTTAAGTAATAAGGCCATTTCGTAAATATTTAGCATACTCTATGTTCTTATATATTTGGAAGTGAAAATACTATGTTTCAACACTAGGGCTATCCACCATGGATAAGAAAGGTTTAATTATGTCCTTAACACATTTCAAGGTCAGGACATACATCAGTATGTCTTCATTAAATCTCGTAAACGAAACTACATGCGGCATTAATTACAGTTAGTTGCTTATGTCGTATTTATAAATACGCAGTATGTTGCTAAACTGGTTTTAATTTCTTCGCCTTTTCAGGTTTTACTGTTCGCTGGGGAGGCCACTCACCCTCACTACTGGAGTACAGTGCATGGCGGACTGGCAACAGGGATTAGGGAGGCAAACAACCTACTAAAGTATCTCCAGATAGCCTGAAATATAGGGAATTTTATATCCTAACCTAAGGAGTTTCTTAAGTAATCAATCAATTTTTGACTTTTGAAAAATGCACATAAGACTTTTGAAACAAAGTACATAAAATTGAGTTTACAACATAATTTTGGTTCATTTGCTTCTGGTATTGTTCAGAGGGTTAGAAAGGCCAACAAACTAATACAGGACTAAAGGATAGTACTGTCCTAAATTTGGGGGCATTGAGTGTACTACGTTATGGTAGTTCTGAAATATACAAATTGAAGGTGTCCAGAAAAAAACTGAACATACTCCTATAAAGTAAATTTGTTCGTGATAAAATTGTTAGGTAATAAGTTGAATAAACACCATAAAAATGATCAAATTGGGTTTTGAATACTTAAGTTTTAAATATGATTTATTTATGTTATAATCAACTAAGAAAAATACAGTAGGACATTAATAACAAGACCCTTGATAACAAGTCGCTCTTTATAACAAAAGTCATTTTTAAATTTCCTATAATTCGTTTTACCCCTAATCAAAATATTTTCTTACAAACCTTGGTAAGATGAAAACTGATAACATGTTTATATAACAACTACCATGGAAGTCTTGTTATCAAGGTTTTATGATTGTTAATATCTTGTAAATCTAAGTATAAGGTTTAATAAACAACATACCATTACTTTGATTTGTTTTCCTGTTACTCTGCAACAATAGGTCAACTTACTCAATTTCATTCTCAATAGCAGAGCCCTAGGGGCGTTTTCAAAAATGTTAGGCCAGTTTGCAAATCTAAGCAAAACGTTCTTTCCAATGAGACGTGAATGGATAAAATCGGTTAAGAAATGGCGGAGGAGTTCAACCGACAAAGTTTTATGTAGCATCCATCTGTTGTGCTGTTTCTATTGGTAGATTCATTGTAAAGAATCTTTATAGTACCCAAAGGTTTGCTTTGTTTTCATTTACACTCATAAAAAGTACACATTATTGAGGTGTATATCGTATGAAGTAAAGTTTTCAACACATTTTTAGTGTTTGGAGTCTCCCAAAAGTTTCTTATGAATACAAAAATATCTTAGCATTCACGAGTTTTGCTTTACGACAAAAGAATTCGTAAACTTTGGTGTTTTGCCGTGTTACAAAGTTTATTTATGTCATTAAACTGTAGTTTGGATATTTTTTATGTTAGTTAAGGCTTGAATAAAACAAGAACTTGATCAAAGCAATTCCACCCTTATCATACAGAGCTAGAGCTTCTGGTGTGAAGTAGGCTTCTCTTATACTGTTAGATTAATATGGACACAATAATTTGCAATCCATAAACAAAAGACTACTTGTAACATATTGTGTTTATAAAAAGCCAACCACAGTATACTAGCAAATTATAATTTACAGTACAAAGGAGAAAACGTCTGTTGTTACTACTGATCATATATTACACTGAAAATTGATCTATATAGGGGATATATTCCCCTATATTGATTAATTTTCAGTGTAATCTTTGCTCAATAGTAATAACTGATGTTCCTCTCTATGAGTGGTTTTTGCCATTGATTGACTGTAAAATAAAATAATGTGTTGTGGATTGCCAGGTTAAAATTTCCATCATAATAAATTGAATTTCCACTTGAAGTTAAATAATTAAGTTCGAAATTAGTTGTACATAAGAGTTTAGTTGCCTTTATATTGCTTTTGCAGTCGAATTCAACTATACCGAGCCATGGCTCGGTCCCCCGGTACTGAAGTACTAATAAGAGCAGCTACTATTAAGAATTAATATTTCATGAGTGTCATCGGTATAATGTACATTTAAAATTTAATTGGGGGACTTCGCACGATAACTATTGTTGTTATAACCTTGAAATTATTTTTTTCGATGGAGAGTCTAGATAAGTAAAGAAATATCCCCTTTTAAAAATAGGGCCACTAACCAATAACTTATTATTTGGCGATTTGGGAAAAAATCAACTTTAGAGTTTTATTAGTTGTTCTATACGTAATTTGACGTAGTGGTTAGGGCGCAGGACTTCAGTCCCTGAGGTACCGGGTTCGATCCCCGCCAAGTCACCAATGGATTTTATCTAAGTGATAATGCCGTAACCCCTAGGTCTAGCCTGAAGTAATGTGAAATACAATCCCAGGCTCGCGACTAGCGTCCTAGGGGAAAAAATAAAAAATAAACGATATTTCAATTTTGGTTAATGTCAGTTGGTAGCTGCTTACTGGGTATTATATGGCAGACAGGCTAGGTTATCGTGGCTTATACTTTTTTAAGTTGATTAATAGCCTAATTATTAGAAATATGTAAGACACTAAGTACTGTTTATTTGACGAGACATATTACATTAAGACTATTTGCTCACATTAACTTAAATTATTCTGCTCTTATTTGTATCACGCTCTATAGATTTCTTCATATAAAATCATTTCCACACATGAAGGCTTCAAAGTACTTTGTCCACGTTGGCCTCATGTCTTCACAAGATCGTACTGCAGACCAATAAACTTATGCTACGTTCTGGATGCCTAAAGCAAGATTGTGATAATTATATAGACAGACACGACTTCTTTCTCCTCGATGAAGCTTGTTGTACGTATGTATGCCGCATATTGTACAAAAGGATTCTATGAGGTTATTAAAAATGTTTAACTAATAGGTTTGTATTAATATAAAAAATTGCAATGGAAAATTGGGAGAAAGGATGGAGATGACTTAATGAATATATGACAAAAAAATATGTTGTTTATACTTTATTCTGGAATATGAAATGGAATGTGAATGTTGAAAGGCTCTTAAAGTAAGGCATTGCAAAAGCGGAATCGTTTCCATTTCGATAAATATCTTGTTGATTATAGTAACATCAGTTTTAAGTACATAGCATTACATATCCACCGCAATGTCCCCTATAGTGAGCCATAGACCCAGAGTTAGCCAGTAGAATAGTTCATACACCACCTTTATACTAAACCCATTGAACACTCCCAATATACCCAAACTGTAGGCTACGAACTCCGCTGGGCTCGTCACACTGTAGCGTATAACAGAGAGAACGCTGTCTTTCTCGTAGCTAAACTGAATAGTGGTATTCTTTAGCAATAGAGGTGCATCAGCATCAGGCTTATTCTTTTGATCGATAGAGTACAAAAAGCTCAAACAATCTAAAGGACAGTCACACTTGCATCGTTTGTCTTTGTACTCCTGATTGAAAAGAAATTTGCTTTGTTTTTGACAATCGAATGCTTTACTGCTGCTACAGATAGGAAGGGAACTGTTAATAATAGCTGTGCCATAATGGACGCAGCTACACAGTTTCAAAGAACAGTTTATCTGACATTCTAAAACACAGTTGTTTTGCGTGTAAAACTCAAATAGAGAGAGCGACCTCTCATGTGAAAATACGCAGTTTCGTTTTGACTGTTCTACTTCAGCAAGATCTTTCCTCGCATTGGTAATGTTTGGTGAAACAGAAATAGCTGCTGATGTGCATTGAATGATTCTCTGATTTGGCATGATTGTCATCGATGGGTTATCAAAGTTACTGTGTACAAACAAAATATATCTTCCGAATAGTGATCTTCTTTTTGCAAGTTCCACTTCATGACTATATACGTCGGGGTGACTGTTTGTAAACTCAATTTCAGCAGCAAGATCAGCAAACTCTAATTCCAAATGGTTATCTGTGTACAGCAGTTCATTCCTGCAAAGGTCGTCAAATATGTTCGCAGGATTACACAAGAACTCATTGAAACCCTTGGGCTTACTTACATCACGAGATTTAGCTTTTCGAAGATTTTTCATAGCGTTAATAGTCTTACAAGTGTAAATCCCATTTTCAAATTTCTTAACCGGTGCTAGCAGTATTTTTGATGAAGTTGAGCCATTGCGAAGAGTTTCCAAACGGTAAGGAGTAGTAGGAAAGTCGGGATTGTATATTTGGAACGTACTCAGTCGTTCTTTTCCTAATTTTTCAATGTATTTAAAATAATCCACCCCATTGAAGATGCGGCTTGGTTTAATATTTTCCGTATCTTCAAAAAGGGGAACGTATAAACTTGTAAACAAATCCCCTTCATCATCAGTCATTAACAGAAAATCAAATATGATTGGATATATATCAGTTGAAATCATGAACATATTCAATTCATCCTCGCTACACAGCCAAGATGTTCCATTCTCAAGTGACATGCATCGTTTCAAGATCTCAAACCTGTTGTAGTCATCTTTCAGCAGTAGAGGCTCACAGACAGTGATGGCTGGGAAAGGTATGTCTTTGACATTCATGTAGGTCAGACTTTGAACTATCAGGGAGTTCCGAAAGTTGTTGTATGCGTCTTGGATGTAAATAGCGCTTACAAACAGTGCTACAATGTGGAATAATATACTCACCGAGTTATACAGATCTGGGCAACGCCTCAAAAAAACACTTTGCAACCCAGAAAGTCCCATGTTGTTGAAGAGGGCTTCGGAGTAAGAATTTTCCTTTCTTGAAATATCCTCTAATGACATAGTCATGTTGTCAACCTCAAATTCAACTTCTTTCACAGCCGCTTTAAAATTTCTAAGGTCTTCCAACAATAATTCATCGAATTTTTGAATTCCTTCCTCCATATCATCCAGGTAGTCTTCAAATTCATGAACATGTTCTTCAAGTATGTTTTGGAAATGTATTTCTTCCTTTGGGTGGGACCGGTCATTCCCAACAATACCATTTCGGGTTTGATGAGCCATTTTGAATACCTACGGATGAAATCACCCACAACAGAAGTGTGACAAAATGAACTACTTTCTTGTCAAGTAATTAAACTTTAACTATTCATTAGGTGACGATAAGAGAAGCTTGCGTGTTAAAATGAACAGTTTCATTGACTAATAATGATGCGAGTTCCATAAATAATATTTGCTATAATAGAATATGCAAATGCCCCACCACAGCATACCTGCAGACTTGAAAATGTTTTGAAATTGGAAATGTTAGACCCCATAGAGTGACCCTTCATTTTTAAGGTCGTGGTAAAAT